CACTGGTGGATAAACAATATGCGCACAGTCTTGACCTCGACTTCAGATGAAAGGGTTTACCTCATCTTTGAAGTTTCTCGGAGGGAGACATGGTAAGTTCAATTGGAGTTTAGACTTTTTGCGAAGACTGCAAGAGCCGATTTGTCTTGGTGTCTTTAATGTAGAGCTTGAACGCCCGAGTGTAGAATGCGGATTTGGCTATCAGGACTTTTCCTTCCAAACATAAGGCCAGTGACTCTTTAAAAGTCAATGCTTAGAGTCCACAAGAAAATGTGCGTTTAGCCATCAAAGCTGAAATATAACACAGTATGAAGACCGACCTCCATACTTCAGATATTTCTTGGCTGTCTTTGTCCTGGTGAAACACGGTTTATGCTGCTGGTCCCCAAAAAAGCTTTTGTTACACTGAAATCTGACTTGCACTGTGTGATAATAGCAGTCATTAATGAATCCAGCTAATGCTGGAAATGCCCAATTATTGAACCTTTGTGTAGTTCCATAGTTGATAAAGTGTATATCTTATTTATATCTCTAGTAGACTGGTGTTTCAGAGTTGGTCTAAGTATTTACAGGCAACTTAAGTAGCCTTAAGTGAGGTTGTTGCACAGATCGTAGAAGTAAAGGCCAAGTAATGTATTTGGCATTTGGGTTCTGACAGCATTTAAAAAAACAAAAGGCAATTCTGGCAGGGATGATAAATAAACTTGTCAGCTGAAACGGAGCAGAACAGATCCAGTATTGGACTGGGCATGTTGAAGGATTTATACATTCTTGGTATTTTCAGGACAAAAAATATTGGTTGTATTGAAGGTATGGCCTTAAAGTCAGAATAATCCGTACTCCAGAATTATTGAAAGAGTTGAGTACAAATAACCATTTAATAAAAATCTGTGAAAATATTCATGTTTTTAGATGCAAAAATGTACCACGTACACAGATATAGTTTGTTGTCATTAATAAAGGTGGAAAGGACTTGCATTTCTACAGCTACAAAGTTTGCTCAAGGTAGAGTTCGTTCCCTCTCGTTGGCTTAGTGTATAAAAGAAAAGAGCAGGCAGCTTTGTATTGCATTGCATTTGTTGTAATCATTAGCTAAACTGGGGAATATGCTCTACTACACCTAAAAACAATTGACAAGTGCCTTAAGGCAGGTGAATAATGTCTGAATGCAGTCTAAAGTTGTTGTACTGTGGTGGGTTTGCGAGTCTGAACCTTGTCATCATTTTCAGTTTGTTGTGCTTACTTGAAACGAAATAATTTAATCAAATTTCCACCATCTAATTGACAAAGAACAAACCGCAGGGTAGTGCTGCAACTCAGGAGTACCTAGTTTGGTGGGCTCTAGGCGAAATATAATTAAACTGCTATTTGTAGCCTGCCTGCTGTGCTCGGTGCATGAAGGGTACTTGCATTGGAGAGTGCACACACAATATGCAGAAAAGAGGGCGTAGAGGTCAACCACTTGTGTTTTTTTTTTTCTTTCTTTCTTTCTTTTTTTTCTTTTTTAAATTAGCCAACTTTTATAAAATTACATGTTGGCCATGGGTAAATGGATCTGGTCACTTTTTGGCAAAGTTTGCAGTCTTACTAAGCCGAATGTAGTAAAAATGAGTAGATGTGTGAAAAGGCAGTGGCAGCTATCCTTGGCACAGCTGCATTAGTGCAACACATAATACACACGTCACATTAAAGAGAAACGGTCTGAATTTTGCGCTGTCAAAGTATCAGACTTTATTTGACAGATAAATTTGTAGAACTTTAAACTATTTATTTTACATGATACATTCATTGTCAATTAGTTTAAAAAAAGATTAGCACCGTAGTGAAGTCGTGCTCCGAGGACGAACAGCAGCATCTCCTGGGCTTCGCTCAAATACCTCAACTGTACGAGTGTGAGTAACTTTTAAAGTGTGTATGTGAGAGAGGGGGGGAAGTAGCTGCAGTGTCAGAAAAGTAAATGCTTTTAGTGGCTGTTACCTTACTTTAGCCATGAAGTGTGTTGGTGTAATCTGAGGCTACACTAAAGTATCAGGTGTAGAAGCAGAGAGCTGCGATGGGCTGCAGAGTGTGTAACCGGGCTGCTTAAGTAGCAGGTCAATTTTTAAACTTTCTAATTTTGTTGATGCTGCAATTTCTGGGCTCCACATACTTTTAGTTGTGTATATAGGAACAGAACATTACTGTACAGAGAACTTCCAGATCTGGCATATTTCTCGCATTGAACCATAAAGCACAAACGATGAGATTGAAGAATATTAATAATCCATTTATTAATTATGCATATCCATAACCCATATTTTTTCCAGTTACAAAGTATATATTCAACCTGATTTTATGTCCTAGGCTTGCAAATGAGTCCTGCATTATATATGTAGCATGTATATTATAGTAAAGATGGTTATGAGATTCTTAAACAAGAGAGAAGAGAGAAAGGACACAAAACATCAAATAGTGACGTTTAGACAAACAGCATTTCCGTTTGGATATTTCTTGATCTTTCACTCCCTGCTTTAGTCTTATTACCGCAGGTCATTCTCAGACCGTGAGATTATTTGAAAGTGTGGAAATGTGGATCTGTAATCTATTTGAGTCGGAGCTTTCAGGACATATTATACAGCTAGCTGCATTATTCCTAACCTGAAGTTCTTAGCTATCAAACTCTCGTCCCTGCTTATAGTATCCAACTTTGTTTCCGTACAGATGTTTCAGGTCAGTCCTAATAAGTCTGGTTAATCCTGTGTTCTCTACTTTGCCAGAAGTTACAACATGTAGCATTTACCGTCCTCACATTTTTATTGTAGCCGAGCAACAGCTCTTAGGCTGTAGCGCGGCATTTACTTCACTGAAGGCACATCACCTTCATCCCCTTCTTGCATAGTTGGGCCACATTGTGTAACTTGCTAATGATCCAAATGACTTTTATTCTGTAAATGACTGCACTGAGGGACAGATGTTGCTGCAGGCGCTTTAATTTGTCGGAGCCAAATTAGTATACAATGAATTTCATAAACCTTCAAGGCGCTTCACTCAATCAGAATAGCCTTATGTTTTCCAGATAAATTATGTACAGAAGGAAATCTAGGTCAGACTTGATCTGTGCAATAAAAAAAGCCAAGCGTTTGACTCTCAACTGAGAAAATGTTTTGTCATCTCGTTTGTCATTGAAATATTTATTTGCATAACACTAAAGAAGTTCAGTAGGAACACAATTTCCATTTTCCATCTCATAAGGCGTATATTAGAATTTCAATAGTTGTCCTTTTGGGTTTGTTTGTTCTTTTTTTTCCTTTCTTTTTCTTCTGCATTACTTTTAATGAATATCTGAATGCTCTGCAGATGTCAGTGTGTTTATGTTAAGTGAGCAAGTTGAACTGCTGACAGAAGGAGTTACTGTTAAAATAAATTTGTCTTCACCAATTATTATATGTATTATAGTTTTATCTCAATTATTAGCCTCAATAAAATTGTACACAACACAAGAGAGAGAATAAAAATCCCTGTTCCTGTGTACTGTCGGGCAAAGCTCTATAGCCCTCAGAGGCTAACAGTGTGGATACATAGTGACCAGTTTTTGTTGGTAGTATTCTCAGTCTGGTTTCGAATCTGTATCCTAATTAAAAATAAAATAAAATGCAGAGAAACCCAGAAATTTCCATAACTGCTGTTGGGGGCATATCCCAGTGTGTCTCATTTCATCTTGTTCTTTTGTTATTGGAAGATTTGCGTGGAGCTGTCTAACTTCAAAGTTCCAACTTATTCATGAAAGTGGAACAAAGACATGATGTTGGCGCCTGTCCAACTTATCAAGAGAGAGTTGGTGTCTTCTACCAACACATTTCACAGCAGGCTGATGCATAATCGTCCTTCTGTTTAGCCAGGATGTGGATGCAACAGAAATGAGACATAAAGGAGATGAAAGCCAAAACAGTGACCATGATCTAAGCTTGTGTGCCAAGATGTTTCTCATTCATCCTTCAAGCTGGAGAGGTTGTGTAGTTGTTTGTCTTGGGCAGCGGGTGGGCTGTGTGAGGAATTACATCTCCCCCCCACCCACACACTGTGTCTGTCCACAGCTGCATTTAAAATGTGCCCCCATTAAAATAAACAGGAAGAAGTATTTTTATACATTTGGTTGTGTGTTTGACTGCACAAGGTCATGAAGCTTAACCTAGAACACCTCATTGGAGCTTTACATTTAAATAAATGCATTCAGATGAGCCAAAATTGATGTTAAGGGTTACAGCTCATGGAAATGGGAGAAACTCTGTCCCTCTTGCATTTAAATTCCTTCTTATATTGAATAATCACTGAATACAGATTTACATAATGTACTGCTGTTTGTGTTCATGCACTTGCCCCTGAGTGATGATGCATTTCTAGAGTTGTGAATAAAGTGTTTTGCATATGTAAAACAATTTGTATACTTTACGTTTCTGATGTTGTTTGAAATGTAACATAATAATACACAGAGCTGAATGAAACGCATGCTGTGAGCATCTTCATCTGTGAGTGACACATTCAAATTTAATAAATCAAAATAGTAGTGATCTATTCATCTTTGTAGCACCTTAGCATGCCTAATAATCTCTAATGAACACTAGTTATGTTACCTGTTTATCACTTGGTTAGATTATGTTAAATTGGATTTACTGTGCCCAGCTTGTTTACCCCTCTCTCAGTGTCCTGGAGTTATTGTTTCAGCAGCATTAAATTAGTAGTAGGCTATCAAATGCATTGTTTGCTTGTCAAACACTCCAGATTCATTTCCTCAAGTGAGAAATTAAACCCATTTTATCTCCAGACCCTCTCTGCCCCGATTTTATGCCAAGAATAGCTAAAAAAATCTTACATTAAGGGAAAAGTAGTCTTTCTGCTCCCATAAGTCTTGTAAGTGTGGGAAAAAATGTTCTCCACAGTGACATCAAGGGAAATTAAGGGCTATTCAAACCATACTCAGGTTGTCCATAATTCACCTCATCGCCTCTCTCTCTCTGCAACAGTGTGGACCTGGTGCATGCTCAGATCCATGTGTGCGAGGGCCGCAGCCTGCCAGAACTCGGCCTCAAACAAGACAAGATCAGGGTGAATGGCTGCGCAATCCAGTGTAGAGTGACAACCGAGGACCCATCCAGAGGCTTCCAGCCAGACACGGGAAGGATTGAGGTAGGCTTTATCTACAAGTGCCCTCATTGTGTTCATTTGCTGGTGTAGTGAAGCTATTTGTCTACTAAGAAACCTAATGAAGATGGCAAAGGCCAAAAGAGGCCAGCTGATTTTACAAAATCAAAAAGCTTTTTTGTGGCGGTTCAGAGGGTGTGAACAAGACTGCAAGAGTGAAAAGGTTCTTTCTTTTTGGCCAAAAATGCAGGAATAATATTATTATTTAAAATTTTATGTGTACATTTTCCACCAGTATCCTGCGATCTCTAAATTCACTAAATCTGCCAGAGGAGTTGAGTGCACTCTATCAAAAGCCAGTGTTTGCGGCATATCAAATTATTTTAACCTTGTTAGTTTATACTCAAACAATAAGAGCCTTGGAGCCGACCATGCGTGCACCTGCATCGTGATCTTGATTTCTGAAAATAGAGCCAGTGATTCCAAACGAGAACTATTCCCATAGCGATATGATATAATTTTCCTGTTTTAATGAGAGAGGAGTATTCACATCCAGCACGGCCTGGGTGAGGCTGCTGCTACTGACAGGAACTAGAAATGTGAAAGCTTTCACTGATGGGTGCATTTAAACTGTTAGACTGAGTGGGTTCATCATTGTCTGGAGGTGGGGGTGTTGAAAACATTTCTTTTGGTTTACAAGTACTCTGTTCCACATTTTGATTAAAAAGAAATGGATTACCAATGACTTTCTGGTCTTACCAATTCTGTTTAAAAAGGGGTGAACTAGAAGTTGTTTTGCATATAGATTTAAATTTAATTTGTCATTTCATTTGGCTCCAAGGGGTTTTAGTTTATTAGCGGGATACGTGGCTCAATGATCAGAGTTAATTTAACCTGGAAATATCAGCGCATTAAAGGAGCCATCTCAGAATTTTCTTAATTTTAAGTTGTATTATAGTAAGCAGCACATATTCCAGGATCACCTTTAAATTGGCCTTGCAGGACCAAACATCGAATCTGTTTTTAAATACCATCCTCATTAGATGGCATTCTCACGTTCATTACTATTCACCGTGAAAATTATGTGAGAAGAGGGGCCATGAAGGGGCTTGTGACCTTTCCATTTCAAGGACTTTCCACCTTGTTTCTACTCCATATTTGTCCTCTTCAGCTTCCCCCTGCAATTCTCAGAAACAGTCCTCCAACCTACCACTCAGCTTAACAATAATGTACATATTTCACACACCTAGATTCCTTCTTCATAGAGCGCTCACTCTTCTTTTCAGCCATTTTATTAATTTCCTTCTCCATTGGGTTTATCCTGGTCTCTTTACCCGTCATCCTGCACCATTTACCTGTGATTTTGAATGAGGAAACACGATGGACAATAGAGGGAGGCCTCACCACCACCATGCAAGGTGAATGAAATAAACACAATCAATAAAGATGGAGGAATGGGACACCAGGCACTTAATAAATTATTGCTGGATGGCCGTGACTGGTCGGAGGCGGAGCAACAAAGTAAAAGGTGAAGGGCACGAGGATGAAAGTTATAGGTTGTAATTCACTTGAGGTGTCCGAGGAAAGTCGAGTAATTGTCTTTGAGAAATAACGACACTGAAACTTCTGCGCAGGGTCGGATCAGATACAGATAACCCTTAAAACACGATGCTCCAAATATTTGAAACCCACGTGGTTGTAGCACAGAAGGTGATGGATTTTCAGCAGTGCTGTGTTTCAGGAGGAAAAGACTGGAGCCACACACTACTTCCATAAAGCACCAAAATAACTGTCCTTTACTTGGATTAGAAAAAACTTCACGTTAGAACAGCATAAAAATCTGCAAAAATAAAGGTGGGATATTTGATGTTGGAGGTAAAAAGGGAACAGCACCACATCAGAGCCTATTTTTATATCTCATCTGTATGTGAAGAGCAAAGTGATGCAAAATAAAGGTAAATACTTGGCTCACATTTGCAGTACTATTCCTTAGTTTTCTGGGGCTGTTCACTGTGCGGGTGTGCGCTAAAGCAAACAAAACAGGGAGGAAAAATTGAACTTTGATAATAATAGATAGCAAGATTTGAACCTGAACTTCAAAATCAATAGGCAATGTTTTATTTATTATAGGAATGAAGTCATTACTGAGTTTTTCTGGGGCTTCTAGTTACTTTTCTCACCAGTATGGTGCCATACTTGCACCAACACATTCACCCCCAGGCAAGTTTCTGCCCTGAATAGATTTAATAGATGTGTTGCCAGGGAATAATGGATATGTTATATAATGTTAAAAAAATTTGGTACATTTTGTTTTTTAAATAACAGTTCAGTAATTTATGCCTTTTTAGACTTTTTGGAAAACAACAAAGAAGTTAAATTTGCTTAAAAACAACTGAATTTCAGTAAATCTTTACAAAATTAACCAGCTTCATGCAACACAGCAAGGTTAGTGTTTAATTTGCACAGTGTGGATATACCACAGAGGTCTGCATACACTGAGTGATATTAAAATCTCACAAGTTTTACTTGTATATTTCATGTCTGCTCTTAAATAGGAATTTCCTTGGGGTGTTGACTACCTGCAATATATACAGTTTCCCTAAACTACTGTTTTCTCTTCTTCTCTCGGTTCATATTTTCCATAAGATGCTTTGCTTATGCACCATTAAAACATTGGAGGAAGCAGAATGAAAAATATGCTAATGCCTTAGCTTTAGGGGAGCGTAGCCTGGAGCAAGTAAAATGGTGTTTAGGCATAGGAGGCACAGAGGAGAGGTTCATAGAGGGAGAAATAAAGTAAGGTGTGAGCGAGGGATGAGGAGTGATGGATGCCGTAGTGCAAGCACGGCAGCAGCCCCGTCGACAGAATGACTGGGAGGAATGGACTGCCTGCTTTAGAAGGCGAAGGGGGGAAGAGTATTAAAGCAGCACCTTGACATTTTGTATTTTAATCTATTTTTCTTCAGACGCTCTTCACATTCGGTGTGTTTGCGAGTCTTTCGGCACGTAAACGCTGTGATCAGTTTAGCTTTGTGAGATATGAAGGTGATTCTAAGAAGCACAAGTGGAAAAACCTTTACTCCCATAGTGTGATAAGTGGATGATGAAAGACTATTTACTGAACCCTGAAATCACGTTACGGCTGTAAAATAAAGATGGTGGAAATATGGTTTTGTTGTTCACAGCGGGGGAAACAGTGGGGGTGAGTTTGAGCTTGCTTCATAGTATGCTGAGGTATTGAACCGAATGATTAACATGTGATCTAAGGGAGCAGCGATCACCCTTTTTTCATCTCGTTTATCTGCTGATCCATCTTCAGAGTTGCTCCAATGTGCTCGTGTCTTCCTTTCCTCTTAACTCTGTCCTCCTCTCTCCTTGTCAACGGTGCCCTTTTCTCCCAGTTTCCCATCGTTTCCACATTTGCTCTCAATCCATTACGTCCAACTATCAATCTTCCCTCATCCTTTCACCTTTAACATCCCTTAACCTTTAACATTACCAACAATCTCTTATCCAATCCTTTTCTCACATTTGTCTTTCCCAGCTTCGTCTCTGCAAGGCCAAGTCCTGCTGTTCTCCTCTCCTCCAAGTGTTCATTTTATTCAACCTCCTCCTGTTACTCAGAAACTCATTTTACATCTTCCTTTTCCTCTCACTCAGTCTGCCTCCACTCTGTCCTTCCTTCCTTCCTCCCTTCCTGCTGTCATGTCCTGCTCGGCGTACTAAACCAGGGGAACAGAAAACCCTTACTGGAGCAATACCAGACTACTTCATCTTCTCCTTCTTCATTCATTGTCCCATTAGTCATAATGTGACGATCAGATGAGGATTTAACTGTCCTCCCATACATCACTTGTCTTTTCTCTTCGACGTGTCGACCAGCATTACTCACATCTGTGTCTCCACTTCCACCCCCCCAACAGCATCCTTCTCTTGTTTGTTTCTTTTAATGGAACACATTTGCATGCGTCACTCAGCGTATTTGATGTGTTTAAAAATGCTTGTGCACGGGTCTGCAGGCCTGTGTGTGCCGGTATGTGTGCCTCGTTCATCCGAGGAGCAGTCTTGAGTTTGAAAACAGGTGGAGTCCTAATTAGAGGAAGTGTATTTGTCTTGCCTATCATCATAAAAACACCTTCAGCTGCACACCATAAACAGACCGGCTCGATCTTATTGGTAGTTTAATCACTGGTATCTTTCATTTTCTTCCCTGCCATTAACAGAGCCGCCAGTCAGCGGTGTAATCAACTGGTGACTGAACTTGGTCTGTTATAAGTTTGAACTCCTGCTTAAAAGTTTTGACTGTTGATCGATTTCCTATGTGCTGTTTTTGTTTATTTTTGTGATTTAGGGTTTTTAAAAAGTGGTTAACATAAGAGGAATTTTGACAGTATGTTTTCAAAACTGTGGTCCTGCATTACACTGTGAAAGAGGCTCAGAGTTGGGTCTTTAAAAATGCAGGTATCTCATTGGGTCATCTCATGATGCCTGCTACCATTACCTGCAGTACTGTGAAAGTCTTGGGCAAATGGATGCAGTGAGTTTATTTGAGCATGTAGAAACATAAACGAATATAAGGCAAAAACTCAAAAATTCAAAGTCAATATTTGGTACGACCACCTGTATTCTTCAGGAATGGCTCTACATGCTTGTTGGACATTCAGAGCTCCCCTTTCGATGCTGGGTGCCTTTTTGTTCTGTTCTGTCAGATAATCCCACACTCATTCAATAAAGCTGACATTTTAAAGTTTCAGCACCTCATCAGACCTGTTGCCACTGATTTTCAGTCCAGTTCTTGTGTAATTTGGCCCCCTCAGCCTTTTCTCCCTGTTTCCCTGCCTCAAGAATGGCTTCCCGACAGCCACACGTCCACTGAGACGGTTTCTGATGAGGCTTTAGTGAACAGTGGCTGGATCGACTGAAGGGCCAAATGCCTCTCCAGGTCCTGTGTCAAGTCTTTATTGGATTTTTTCCCCCTTGTTTCTTATGAAAATGACTTTAAGATGCTTTAGATGGCTGGGGTTGCCACTCGCAGGGAACACTGT